AATGAAAGAAGAGGACATGAAACAAAGTTGTTAGATATTAAGGGGAAGTTAAGTTTCCTCGGTGGGAAGAAATTGTTAGATAAAAGATATTTAATATTTTTTGTAATGCCAGAAAGAAGATGCCATTTTTGCCTGTCGAACAAACATCATGTTATTGGAGTAGAAAGAGACACTTTTAAACCAAAATATTACTGCTAATTTTCTCCCATTTCACGGTTCTCAAACAACAGATAGGAAAGTTCTAATATTTCCTCTTTTCTTTTTTATGGTAACTTAGGTCATTCTTCCTTCTTTCGTTTTTAATAACCTAAACTCACAAGCTAACCCTTATCTGCTAAAATTTACAATTAATTATTTTGGATAAATTACATTTTACCCCCTATGATTTAGCATTTTTTACATAACCCCCTATGATTTTAAAAATTATACATAACCCCCTCAAGGTTTGGATTGAAGTGTCAAAGTGACGGAAATAGTCATTCGTAACGGAACTTCTAAAAATATCGAAATTACCCTTATAAATACATGACACACTAACCCCCTCATGGTTTAATACTTTATCATATAACTCCCTTATAGTTTAATACTTTACCATATAACCTCCTTATAGTTTTTAAAATATACATATAACCCCCCTTGGTTAATAAATAATTTTCAACTTTACATAAGGATATTTTAGATATTTTAGATTACTCCGTTACGAATGATCATTTCCGTCACTTTGACACTTTAATCCAAACCATGAGGGGGTTATGTATAACTTTTGAAACAATAGGAGGGTTATGTAAAAAAAGCTAAACCACGTACAGGGGGTAAAAGTGGAATTTGCCCAATTATTTTTTAAAAGCTGTGCTTAATATATATACTCCTTAGAATGGAGAACCATAAGAGGATAATGGAGTATGTTTTTAAATTGAAAAAGAAAAGGTTACGAGTAGTTTCCTTTTAATTGTACCACATTTGTTGATTTTTGGCAAACCATATCAATTCATCAGTTGAAATTCAATTAGTAAAATTCTCTGCTTGTTAAAAGTTCAAAGTAGTAATGGAAGATTTCTTGTATGTATAGTTTTTTCCCCTCTTGTTGAAGATTGTCTATAATTCTTTTGCTTTATATATAAGAACAGTCACTACAGTTAATGGCATTGATAAGAACAACGTACACTTCAAGTTTGAAGACGGACCTTGACTCTCAAAAGTGGAATCAACTAATCCAGACTGCATTGCGAGTCTTCAAGTTTGAGGGCCAGTGTGTTTAATGGCATTTCTAAGAAATTCCACACAACAATTCTAGTGGAAAACGGATCTTTGGCTCTCAAAAGCGGAATCAGATCAATTCCAAGTGCTCTCGTTTAACTCTCCATATGTAGTCTTTAAATCCAGACTATCTACGGGACTTGAGGCTTTCTGTTCCCTCAGGTATTGTAAGGCTTGTAGTATCGGTAAGGTTTTGATCATGGTTTGTAGGTTAACCATGAGTTTAACTTGAAGCCATGATACCAAAAGAGATTGTAGAATCTCTCACAATTATATCAGCATAAGTTTACAATGTGTTATAGATTTTCAGAATAACTAAATGTCTACAATGAGTAGACCACTTTATTCGATGTTAAAACAATTTAAAGAGGAATTATCTACAATTTGTTTTTAATTGCAATAATTAAAAGGTCATCTAATGGTATAAACTAACATAATGATTAAAACTATGCATAAAAATTGTATAAAAGTGCACAATAATAAAAATTATGCATTGAGGGCTAGATGTATGGTTTCATATACGCAATAGGCAAATAATGTATACACAATTTAACTATCAAATGAACGTTTAGTTAACTTGTAATTCATAAGGTTAAGAAAAGTTTAATGTTAAGTGCATAAGATTTGTTAGAAACAAAATAAAAATAGCATTGTGTAACATATTTTATTTTAATGCTGCATTGGTGATAACTGTATAAAATTTTATACTCAAATGTATGCATTCCAAAAGTGTCAATTTTACAATTCTTAGTATATAATTATGTTTTGATCCACAGTATTATTAAAAAGTCTTTCAACACAATAGATGTAGTCCCGTTAAAAACGCGGGTTAAGAACTAGCTTAAATAAAAGTTAAACCATACAAGAGTATTTCATTTGATAGGTTGGCTAGCCAGTGTCTAAGGGTACGCGTTATTGATTAAAAGGGTGTCTCAGCTGTTAATATGTTGACAAAAGTAAGTGACTGTGCATTCATCTTGTAAATGCGATTTAAATGTTTTAACGAGTTTCGCCATTCATTAAAAATCCTTAATACAGTCATCCTTGAGAGTGCAGCTCCCTTTAAATTAAGAAAAGGAAGAACAAGACCTGGTCAAGAAACAAAAAAGTCTTCCACGTGTTTAAGCCCCGCAGAAAAGTCTTCTAAGAAATTTTGCACAACAATTGCAGTGAGCTTGACTCTCAAATGTGAAAGCAAATCAAGGCCAGAAAGACCGCGTTACAAGCCTTCCTTGGTCGCCCTAAGACGCAGACAGGAAAGACCTTGACTTTGGGCCAAAATCTACCAGTTTAGTCGAAGTTGAATTTAGTATCTATACCAGTTAAACGAATAACCGTGTAATTAAATTGTCTAAATTTTGTCAAGAAAAGAATTATTGACAAAATATCAAGAAAAGAATTGCATTTCGTGTTGCACATTTTAATTAATTATACTAACAAACATTTAACTGTACACTTGTTGCCTTAGGTATGCTAAATCATTACAGTTTAAACTCAAATTAGTGTCTTAATTAGTGTTCACATGTACGCAAATGCCATGAACAAAGATATTTCATGAATTTGATTGCCCATAGAAGGCAAAAGAGATTGAAAAAAAAAAAGGTTGCATACCGGTATTGAATTACTGGCATCAAAATGTACTTTTAAGACCTGAATATTGCTCCCTTTCTGAGATACAATTAGATACAATTTGATTTTTTTTAGAAATCTGTCCTTAGAATTTATAATTTACTCTTTAGCACAAAGAGCAATAATTAGATTCGACAACCATGTGAAGATGATGGAGTCTGTTTTTAAAATTTTTTTTTTCAAAAAAAAAAAAAAAGGTTGTGACAGGTTGTCGAAGCCTGTGCAATAATAAAACCTGCTCAAACTAAAAGTGATTTCTGTAGATAGCGGTGAGCAGGGTCGAATCCACAGGGACTGGGAGTAATTATTTCTTTTCAAGTTCACAGTGACAAGGGGGGTGTTTTTGTGCAGAAGGTGACAATCAAAGAAATTCAAATAAAATCTAAGAAACTACTAAAAATTAAATAACAAATTACTAAAATCTAATGAGTGATAATTAAGGATCTAGCCAAGGAAAAACTTCAGCAATGGTTCACCTAATTGATCATCGATGCAAAGCCAATTCCAATTATTTATCAATAAATAGGTTATAACTACTAAACAAGCGATGGCAGCCAACCCCTCCTTACTGTGTCGGTGATCAAGGTACGCCCGTTAATCACTGCTCTAATTGAGAAATAATCCTAGGTACGCCCGTAGAATTTAATTCCCCAATTGCCTTACGTATTAGAGGAGCCCTATTCTAACCAAATAACGCACTACCAGGGTTATTTTAGATTAGCCCGCGTATTCCCCTGACACAAACCTAATCATGCCAGTTGTCACTATTTTAGAGCAATTAAACAATTACGGATTTAATGCCCTAATTGACAATAGATTATCCAATCAACTAATTATCTGGATCCAAGACAATTAATTAATTAAATAATCATAAGCATAGCAATCAAGAAATATGCGAATACCAATAAATAAAAGAAAAAGATAAAATTAGATCGATCTCACAATTTTAGATGACCCAAAGCATCCGTTGTCCCTTGACTAGACAAAGGGAATTAGTTCATTTTCCGTGAACAAATCCCACAGGAAAGTGAAGAAACGATCCCAACCATTATTCTTGTTCACGAGACTTCACCTTGACCGACTGAATAAAGAAAAGCTTGGAAAACAATGATTGATTCAATTCTTCAAAGAGTCCCTGTCATGCGTGGACTGAAGCTTCCTAAGAGACAAAAGAAAGGTCAAAGCTCTCTAAGAAAGCTCCTCACCTACGTGAACTGGAGCTAAAGCTAAACACTAGTCTAACTACTACGCTACAGGACGAAAAGAGAAAAAGGTAATGCCCTCTCTCTGCAATTACAATTTGCCTGTTCTAATCCTTCGCTCTCCTGTGCGGCGGCTCCCCTTCCGGAGAGGAAGAAGAAGACCCCTGACTTCAGCCCTTCGTTCCTCTTTTTAATGCTTTTGTCTTCGGCAATTACTAAAATGGGCACAAGTTTGCCTTTGCCAACAATGCCCCTGGGATAAGCTCTGTGCCTTAGACTTCTTTTCTATCAAATTGGCACTTGTTATCATATTTTCGTTCTACTCCCTGAAATATATGCCAAACACTAAAAATGAGTAGAATCCAGCAATTAATCCACATCGGGTCAGGTAATAGGGAAAATTAATAATAAAATAAATGATAAAATTACACCCTATCAGGTTGCGAATAATTTCTTTCCGATTGAACCGCTTTTGGCAAAGGTTACCAAATCTAGCTCTGATTTTTTCTCAAAAGTGGAATCAACTCAGGACCACAAATGCTGCTGACTGCTCTGCATTAATTGCGAGTCTTCCAAATTAAAATGCTTTTAACAATCCGTGTGAATGATGCAGATTGGAAAGATACTATTTTAAGCGCGAGTTTTTCAATCCTGACTACTTACTCAAGGCGGGCGCTTACATTTCATCTATCTTATCTTAATTACCCTCTTTCATGGTCAATTACGGTCCCACTACTTAAATTATTTTTTATTTAGGAGTCCAATTCTATCTGTCTTATCTTAATTACGGTCTTTCATGGTTAATTACGGTCCCACTACTTAAATTGTTTTTTATTTAGTAGAATCGTATACCTGTTAGGAGTCCAATTCTATCTTACATTTCATCTATCTTATCTTAGTTACGTTCTTTCATGGTAATAGAGCATCGATGGATGTTGTATGCAGCGGAGTTGTTCTTCTCATGATACTGGCTATTGCACCAGTTGCAGTAGCAGCAGCAAAGGAGTCTGCCGTGAATTTATTGGAAGCTGAAGCATTGCTCAAGAGTGGCTGGTGGCGAGGCAGTACTACTGCAACAAACGTCTCTGCCCATTGCCATTGGAATGGTATCGTTTGCAACGATGCTGGTAGCGTTACCGAAATACTACTTCCGGGCAGCGGAATTTACGATGAGTTGACAAATTTCAGCTTCTCTTCTTTTCCGAACCTGGTTAGACTAGATCTCAGCGAGAATAAACTTCACGGCGCCATCCCACATCAAATAGGTGCACTCTCCAAACTCACCCATCTCAATTTGTCTTTCAACAGATTTGAAGGTGAGCTTCCCGTCTTCTCTAGTAAACCTTACGCAACTAGCACAGCTCGATGTTTCTTGGAATTCGATTGACAGCTTAATTCCTCCGGGTATCGGAAACTTGACAAACTTGGTTGCTCTAGACTTGAGCCACGATTTTTTTTTTGGTCCAATCCCTCCAACTCTTGGCCACTTGTCCAAATTAGCCTCTCTCGATCTCAGTGGCAATGGACTTAAGGAAGACATCCCACATCAAATAGGTACACTTTTCAAACTCACCTATCTCAATTTGTCGAATAATTTTATCGAAGGCTTTATTCCCTCCTCCATCGCAAACTTGACAAATTTGGTTACTCTAGACCTGAACAACAATTCTTTTTTTGGTCCCATCCCATCCATCCTTGGCCAATTGTCCAATCTAGATTTCCTGAACCTCAATATTAACCACTTCAGTGGGATAATCCCTCCAGCACTTTTTAATTTGACAAAGCTTTCCCGGCTATACATTGGCAGGAATCCCGCAATAAGGGGAGTTCTCCTTGAAGAAATAGGAAATTTGAAGATTTTACTTGAATTAGACTTGAGTTACAATGGTTTTTCTGGCAACATCCCTCCAACCCTTGGCCAATTATCCAATCTAGCCTCCATTAACCTCAACAATAACCACTTCAGTGGGACAATTCCTTCAGCTCTTTTTAATCTGACAAATCTTTCCCGACTAGACATTCACTCTAATCCTGCAATGGGAGGATTTCTCTCAGAAGAAATAGGAAATTTGAAGAGTTTAGTTAAATTAAACTTCAGTGGCCTTAATCTTTCAGGTGCCTTTACTTCAGCTCTTTGTCGCCTAACCAAACTAGTATCTCTTTCAGGTGCTGAGAATCAAATTCATGGTTCCATTCCCTCTGAAATAGGAAATTTGAAAAATTTGAAATATCTTTTCTTCGAGTCCAACCAGCTGACTGGTCAAATCCCTCCGACCCTTGGCAGTCTGACTACTCTGATTTATTTGGACCTCTCTTCTAACCAAATAAGTGGTTCCATACCTCTTCAACTTTCCGTTATACCTTCTCTAAAATTTTTAGATCTTTCCTCAAACCAACTTAGAGGTCCGATTCCATTTACATTAAATTTGGACACCTGGTCTAGATTGAAGCATTTATATCTACAAAACAACTCTTTGAGTGATATTTTTCCATGGAAAATTCTAGATCTCCCTTTGTTACAGACAGTGGACTTAAGTCGTAACCGCATTAGCGGAAAGATACCAACCCAATCGGAGTGGTACTTTTCGACTTTGGATCTTTCCCACAATATTCTCTCTGGCACTGTCCCCTCGTCTCTTATGCGACTGGGGGAAGTCGACCTGTCCTATAATGCTTTGGAAGGTGAACTTCCGTGTGAGCTTGTCATTCAGTTTGGTTCAGAAAGATTTGTCGGCAATCCAGGCTTGCGTTACACTTCCACTCTTTGTGGTGTATCTCCTCCTGTTATGAAAAATCACAGACATCACCCCCCATACTACATCATAGGTCTTGGCGTGTCCTTGTTGGTGTTCTCATTAATTGGCGGATTAGTGCTTTTTATCTTCTGCAAAACCAAAGTCAAGAAAGTGGAAGTTGAGCTGATGGACAATAAACATGGAGACATTTTCAGAATATGGAACTACGATGGACATATGGCTTATGAAGACATAATTAAAGCAACAAACGATTTTGATGTCTGTTATTGCATCGGGACAGGGGGGTATGGTTCTGTATACAGAGCGCGGTTGCCAAGTGGGAAAGTAGTGGCTTTGAAAAAGCTTCACCGTTTGGAAGGCGAGAATCCAAATTTTGACAAGAGCTTTAGGAACGAAGCCGACATGCTATCTAAAATCAGGCACAGGAACATTGTAACGCTCTTCGGATTCTGCCTGCACAAGCGATGCATGTTTCTGATTTATGAGTATATGGACAGAGGAAGCTTGTTTTGTATCTTGAGAGATGAAACCGAAGCTGTGGAGCTGGATTGGATTAAAAGAGTGAATTTGATCAAGGGCATTGCCAGTGCATTGTCCTACTTGCATCATGATTGTGATCCGCCAGTCATTCACAGGGATGTATCAAGCAACAACATTCTTTTGAATTCACAGCTCGAAGCAACTCTTTCTGACTTCGGAACCGCGAGGATTTTGGAACTTGATTCATCAAATCAAACAGTCATTGCAGGCACCTTTGGCTACATGGCACCAGGTAGGTTGCCTTGCTATCCCAGATCCCTTTCTGCTTTTCACCTTGTTTTTCATATTTTCTTGATGCACATATTAGGCTTAACTTTCAAGGACAGAAAAGAAAAAAATTCTTCCAACTGAAACGATTAATTTTTTTTTTTCGAATAGTAAGTCTAGAGTTGTCCCATTTGAGATTAACTTTATTTGTATCCAAATATATACATACTTGTCAATGCAGAGCTAGCCTATACCATGGTGGTCACTGAAAAGTCCGATGTGTATAGCTTTGGAGTTGTGGTGCTGGAAACGCTGTTTGGAGAGCATCCACAAGATTTCCTTTCTTGCATATCATCACAACCCAATGAACCAATAATGCTGAAGGATCTTCTTGATGCCCGTCTGCCCCCTCCGACTAACCCTTTGGTGGTTCGAAATGTGGTTCTCGCGACAGCGTTAGCCCTGGATTGCGTTAACGCAAACCCGAAATGTCGACCAACAATGCAGCAAGTGGTGAACCGATTTGAAGTGGGCAGGCGAGAATCAACTAGGCCTTTGCACACCATTGCTGTGAATCAGCTTGTTAGTCCACCAGTACTTTCACTGCCTGACCAAACCTGCGCAGATGGGAGGAGTAGCTTAAGCACCATAAATGAATTCCACGTGGATATCTCTGCGACTCTGCCATCATCCAATTTTTCTATCCATGTTTCTACCTAAACAACTTTGATATCTGGTAGGAAACAGAATAAGATTTTTGACAATTGCAGAGACCTCCCTTCAAGTTTATTAAATTACACCTACCTCCCTTGCTTTTAGTATTTATATAACAATATAGGCCCAAAAGGCTATATTTTTTTTTCAAAAATCCTAAACTACCCTTTTTGTACAAAAATATAACAAAAATTATTTTGCCAATTGCTTTCTTTCATATTTCAACCAAACCCACCGTACTAACAAACTAACCTAACAAATAGTCTAATTCCAAATTCTAAACCCAAGTAATTCCATCATCATGTTATAAAATTGCTTCTCCCAAAGCATTCATTCAATTTTGAAGATTCGTTCCATTCTTCAAAAATATTCTCACCATATGGTTACATGGAACGGTCAAACTCACAATCAATTGTTCTTATGTTTGCATAATCTTGAACATAGGATGCCATGGTTTGGTTCCATATAAGTGGTTTAACTCCTACTACATAAGCCACATTGTGGTCTTGAAGAAAATCCTTAGGGAAGATTTAGGTATGGATGGAATTAATCAAGTTTAAGAAAAGGAAAGGCATCATTATGATTATAGAGATCTTCAAAAAATTCATTTTGCCAAAAATCAAAATTCTATTTACAATTAATCACACCCCAAACTTCAAACCCAATGCCTACACTTTCTCAAAACAAAATAATCTAGCCTACTATTAAATCTCCAAACATGTTAACGTTTTAAATACAGAGAAGAAACTCTATCTTCATAACGAAACCACAACCAACAATTGTCAAGTATAAAAAGAAATATAAATGTACTTATTGATATCTTAAAAAGTTTTTTGGATGGATGATGGACAAATTAGCAAATTTATCAATTTCAAATGCTCTTCCTCTTTTGGCTAATGATTGCATTATCTGTTCCATTATTATTGCGTGTCCCTTCATTTCCTTTTAATTTGACCATGAAATCGGATTTTACTTCAATCATCAAATCTAATCTCTTAAATAAACTTGTGATTTGACAATTTCAAAGAGAAGAAAAGAGGAATAGAAATATATAGTAGGGTGTGATTGGCTGCAATTATAGGCAATGGTTGGTGGTAATTTGAGAGCGAATTATAGGAAGAAAGGGTTGATGGATGAAAACAAAATGATAATAAGCGAGAGAATCGTCGTTAGCTGTAACTTGTAAATAGGATAGCAAAAAAGGTTAAGTTTCTTTTTCTTTTTTTTAAAAATCTCATTTCATTATACTATGAATTATTTATTAAGTGAAGGTCATTATAGTCATATTATTGTGACAAGAGAGGTTAGTGTAATTTGTAAAACTTGAGGTGAGCCAAGTGGAATTGTCATAACCTCAAGGGAGGTTTGTGAAATTATCCCTAAACTATAACCAAATTTAAAATTTGAACTCTAAATATGTAGCATGCATTTGCCTTTACTAGTTAAAAGAGAAAAAGGAATTTCACACGTAAGAAATTATTGAAACATAAATGGTGCAAATTTTCTTTTTTTAAAAAAATTTTAATATAAATGTACGAGTTTTTATCAATCTCTAGTTTGCCATATAAACATAGAATGATTTTCAATATGAATTTATTATATCACCTATTATTTTAATTCATTAAACTCAACCACAGAAAAGAAAAAACTCGAACATCAAGTTTCGAAATGTGGAACCTATATTCAGCGGGCTACTATTTTGGTGCTTATGCCCCCATAAGTCGATTGCTGCGACTTTTTCTTCCTCCTAGGATGGCCCAAAAGAAAGAAAAAAAGAAAAAAGAGTTTCCCGGTTGCTCATCAATTGAGGAAAACGCTGGTGATTCCTTATTGCTTCCTGGATTTTTAACCTAAAGTGTATAATAGCTTAAGAAAACGTTGTACTATTAAAAGAAATTCTGGACCCATAGTATCCAAGTAAACAGCCAGTTGATACGTGCAAGGAGGCTGTTGGGTTGGAGTGGAGTGGACATTTGCGTTGGGTTAGTGGGCTTAAGTTGTTTACAGAATGGTTGGTAAAAAAAAATTATGGTTGGGTTTACAGATGGTTGATGATAGTGTTATACCCAGTATTCCTGGTACGCATTCAGAATCTGCTTCTAAGAGTAGAACTGATAATTTGAGTGATCTTGACCTTTCTTGATATGTGAACCAAGGAATGCCTCTGCCTGGATGTATTGTTCACCAAGAAACCTAGTCTCATGTTTCGGGGAGATTGGATGATCAAAATGGTTCTTGCAAATATACTTTTGGGAGAAATTGGTGGCCACCTTCTGGTTCATTTGCCGCCAACCATCCAGTTTGACCTGCTTATGGAAGAAGTTGGAGGCCATGATAATTGAATGCAGGATCTGTAAACTGCTGTAATGTATATACTGCTCCTCATAGTCGAAATAGTGATGCCTCCCTGCTGACAAATTGACCATCTTAATTCTTTTCTGGTTGCTTGCAAGCTTCTTAACATACATTGTAGGATATATTATACTTCTTGTACATGTAAAAATTTTCAGGAGGTGCAAAAAAAGACACTTGGTTTATAATTCTATTTTATAACAAAAAAATGCAAAAATAAATAAACAATTATTATGTAGCTAGCTAGCTAATTTGGCTTTTCTTTTCTTAGCTAACTATATGTTCCAAAGCAAACATTCTGGTATAAAAAGCTATACATGCAAGTATTGTGCATGAACAGATATATAGAAGAATATTAGTAGAGGGCTAATAGAAAGTTATGCTATAGATGTTATGCACATATTAGGTTAGATCCCATCTCCCTTTAATTTTTTATTATTAGAAAATGATAAACAGTATTAGCAGAAATAGTTTTGTAAGTTCCATAGAAAACCTTAGGGCTCCATACTGTTATAATTTTGTTAAATTTTTGGACAATTTTGCTCTCCCTTTACTCCCATGGCGGTGAAGTTGCTAAGCCTTGGTTACAATTTTCTTCCTATCCAACCCTTCACCCATGATCCGACGTCACTACTCCAAAACCCAAGTATCCAATACCAATGCGAATGCTTCATACTTTGGTAAAACTCTGGCAAAGGCATCAGAGTTTCCAAACTTTGAACTCGAGCAAGGGGCTTGAGATTACATGATCAAGCTATACATAGTACATACCAATTCTTTTTAAGTTGTATAAATGCTTAAAGAGTTTCTAACCGTCAAGGATTCCTATGGCTGTTGGGAAATCTTCAGACATTACGATACCAAAAATCTTTGTGATGTTGAATGTGGAGGATAATAATTCAAACCATCTAATACAAGTACCAAAACCAAAAAGATTAATTTGGCCAAAATAACAGATACTAGCTCGAAGAGTCGCTGCTACATGCATGGAGGGAGACCAGTAGCTCGCCGGCTAGAATAATGGAAGTTGTAAACAAGGTCTGCTAATCAGGAAAAATCTCCTATTTTGTAATGGCACTTTTTATGATTGTAATACTGACAATATAAGGTGAATCCTACTGTGACATTAGTTATATATATATATATACTAACTAGTATTGTCCGTCTAAAAATTTTGCACTATAAGTTTACAATGTGTTATAGATTTTCAGAATAACTAAATGTCTACAATGAGTGGACAACTTTATTCAATGTTAAAGTAATTTAAAGAAGATATCTGCAATTTGTTTTAATTGTAATAACTATAAGGTCATCAAATGGTATAAAATAACATAATTATTAAAACTATGCAAAAAAATTGTACAAAAGTGCACAATAACTAATTATGCATTTAGTATTAGATGCATATTTTCATATGTGCAATAAGCAGATAATGTATACACAGTTTAACTATCAAATGAATGTTTAGCTAACTTGTAATTCATAAGGTTAAGAAAAGTTTAATGTTAAGTGCACAAGATTTGTTAGAAAGAAAATAAAAATAGCATTGTATAATATATTTTATTTTAATGTTGCATTGCAGAAATGATGGTGATAACTGCATAAAATTTTAAAACTTTTGGGAGGCAATTGTGGGGTTAGTGGAAATATTACCAAATTTCAACGGGTGCAAAAGTGAGGCAACAATAGAAAACCTTTTAATAGGCTATTCTGAAAATTCGATTTTGGTAGGTTGCTTGGTTGGTTTTTCCCATATTTTGCTAAGTAATTCATCTTTTCGGCACGTGGCAAAATAAATTATAAAGAAAATTGTGTTTTTTATTTTTTTGTGGATTTTATTTTTGTCTTTTTTTCTTTGCAACCAATCTATTAATTACTTAGCTTATATAAGTTTGTATGTTTGTGCCTTCTTTATTTTTTTTTGTCAATCAACTCACGTTTTTTCTTTTTTAATCCTCTTCAAGCACGTTTTCTATTTTTATTATTGGTTTGATCATTCATCAGTATTAATTTGGACAAATTATGCCACGTTAATGTTGAGGTAATAGTATCTATTTTCTGTCTTTACCTTCCTGTCTAATAATTCCTTTTTTCTTCTAATAATTCTTATTCTAATAATAGTGTTATTTATTAGATTTCCTAAAATTATTTCATCATTAGTCTTTTCTTATCTACAACATATATGTCTTACATATTTCATAAGGAAGTTCTTGATTGATGGTCAAGTCAAGTGTTCTCCAATTTTCTTATCAATCAACCATGAATCTCTCTTAATGAATTTCCTTAATTAATTGACCCAGAGTTAAATATTTACACATTTTAACCATCTACTTTTTCAACATCGTATATAGGCATATCAATGGGTTGGGTCTTACCCAAATCCAATCCAGACCCAATATATTTGGGTAGGGTTTGGATTTAATTTCTCAAATTCAGACCCTACCCAGACCCAAACCCAGACCCTATGAGAGAATCGTGGGTGTGGGTAAAGTCTGATTTTCTAGAATCCATATCCAAATCCAGACCCAGACCTTACCCAGATCCATATATATTTAATTAAATAATATATATTAAAAAATTTATAAAATAATATAATATTTTATGGCTATTGGATCAAATACAGTAAGATTTTATGGCATTCAGAATCTGCAATTAATGTTGGTGGTTGGATGATTAATGAGACTCGTGTCAAATTGCTTCTAGATGT